GGTACTTACATGTATGGCATTCAGCTTTGTTCGGGTATTTTCCCATGTCATTGTAGTTGTGCTTTTAAAGTTGTAGCAACGTTTCAGCAGAATCTCATCTGCCATCATCAGGCTTCTGTATTGTGTACGTCTATATATATTTCAATATATATATATCTGATTCATCAATATTCATCAAACATAATAAATAAAATAAACAAGTCAAAGACTTTTGCAAATCTTTGAACATTAAAACAGTCCTCTCTCAATTTAAATGTTGCAAGAGAATGTATTAAAATACAAATATGTTTAAATACCATCATTTAAAATACATATTTCAATATGAATTCTGAAGTAGATACCTTTCAAAAAGATATATGAATGATGTGGAAACATCATAGAGCAGAATTATAAAAAAAAAAAGATGGCATGAAATGGAAGTAGAATCATCTGTTCATAGGACAGCTCTCCAAAGAGAGGAAAGAATTATTAATAGCATTTTTATCACCATTGTTCAGTCTCAGAAAAGAAGTTATTGGTTTTGGTTTTAAGCTAGTCCCATCGCAACCTGTTCTCATTCTTGCTGCAGTTTTTAAAAAGGCAAACAGTGAGTGAAAGCTGGCCTTTTGGGAGTAAAGACAAAATTTGTTCATTTTATTTTAAACAGCCCATTTGGTTTTTTTACTTTAATTATGTAGATCGTACACATGGATTAACAATGGTATGTCTTTGAATTTAGCTGCAGCATGTCTATTATTTTGTATGCTTTTATTTAGTAATTTGCCTCTGTTCTATGGGATTTCTTAAGCCATCCGAATTCACCTGTATACGTAGCTATGTCGCCATAATGTGGCTGCTTTCTATCATGCCATGTTTTGTGTATCTAGCTATGGTGGTTTGTAAATCATTTACATACTGTATTTAAACACTTTCTATGTGGCTTTCAAGAATAGGATAGGATAAGATAGGATAATTCTTATTGGCCAAGTGTGATTGGACACACAAGGATAAGCTCTCAGTGTACATGCAAGCAACAAGTGATAAATCATGAACATAAATAATAATCATAAATCATAAGGTACAATACCCAGTGTCAGCTGGTGCTCCATTCAAAATCCAAGAAAGAAATACTTAAACTCCATTAATCAGAGAAAAGATATCTTTTACTGGAAATCAAGTGGTAGCAACAAAAGAATTCTGAATCTGAGAAAATGGGCGCGTAAATCACATATACAAAGTAATGGCAACGTTCCCATCCCCAATAGTTCAACTGGCTCATCCAATTAAAAGTTGTGTATATCATCATGTGGGCATCTCCAGGTGGTGATGAGGCCTCTGTCCGTTGACCTTGACATATTTTGATAAAGAGTTGCAGCTGCGCATAGCATAGGATAGAAACCTAAGCAAGAATCTCTCCCCCCCCCAGCTTATACAGTTCTGGTTTGTAACACCTCCAGCTTACTTCCCATAACCATTCCCCCATCCTCCCCCCCGTTACTTATGACAGCCGAAAGATGCAAAGGAAAGGGAGAAAATCTTGAAGGCTGACACCCAGTGATACTCATAGGGTACTAAATAAAAGTAATCAGTATGAATCATAAAAAATCTTGTGTATACTTAAGTAGATTTTCAAGTAATAGATTGCAACAAAATTGCTTCTAAACATAGAATAGCTTTTCTGGTCTACGGAAACCCTAGTTCAGTTATCTCTCTCCATGCACTACCTCCAAGCATTTTTCTTTTGGAACTGATCATACTGTTCATGCAGCTACATCAATAAGCATCTTTCATGGCAAGTATACTCTGGTGTTTCTACAATATATTTCCAAATGATATATCTACATGATACTGATCAGAAGAAATGTGGAGTGTCCCTGGTTTAGTATGATGAGCTATTCAACAGACTATGACTTAACAGCAAAAGCCAAAAGGAAAAGTGGTGGAGTTGCAGCTTCTTCTGGGGAATCTCCTCCAGACATACACCCTGGCATTGTTCCTTCACCCCATCAATAAAATCCAATCACAAACTCAGCCCACTATCAGCCTGCCTCAAAAGAGTCTCCCAAAGTTTTGTGATAATTCCCCAGGGACCCATGGTCCTATGTGATATTTGGACCCAACTAATATTTAGGAACCCCTATCATGGTGGAAAATCTTCCTGGATCTTGCACTATATTTATCACACCTATTTCTTTTAATCTACAGGAGGAAGATATTGAATATTATGACTCCAAGGCTGATACAGAATATGTAAGTATCTTCCAGTTGCATTGCTTTTGTTTTACACAGTAAATGGATTCTGTATTAATTTCTGTAGGGTTTACTTTGCTATAGTTGTTCAAAGCTTACATTCATTTAACGGGCTTAAGATGGTGAAAAATAAGTTGTGGAGCTGCAAACCTGCAGCTCTTCTTCATCAATTGGTAATGGAAAGGAAGTTGTAAACACTTAACTACATTTCAACAAGGAGAAATTTCAAAGAACAGAAGTAGGACAAAAAATTGCTCATCGGTCTTGGTGATTTCAGGGAGATGCGTTGGAGAACAGAACAAGAATATATATTTGTAAGTTTTGTTACATTTTGAAATGGATTCAGTTTTATTTCATGGTTTAAATTCCCATTGCTTCCTTGCTTGGTTAACCTAGTTCAGGTTTTTTATTTTGCTGGTTTTGGTTTTGATTTATTTTTTTTGTCACTTGCTCTCTATTCTTCAGCTCAGAAGTGCTAAAATCTTCCTGCGTAATCTTATCCAATATCATAACAATAAATGTACTTTCCAGGGTAAGGAATGCTGAAATAAGAGAAATTTAAGCATAGAATACCATAGTGAAACCTTAAGAAAAGAGGACAAGATTTAGATGCTAAAACAAAACCATCCATCATTGTTAGTTGATTGAAAATATATACTGTCATTGTTGCTTACATCAAATACTGCATTCACACTGAAATCCTGTATCTGGGAATAAATCCAGCAGTCCCAAAAGAGATTTGCTTTTAACAAGAAAAGTATAAGGTTACACTATGAAGCTTCAAAAGTTTTATATTTATATGAGTTCATGTATATAAAAACTGCTAACTTGCAGTCGCCAAAAAATACCCCACCTTCTTTCTTTGTAATTAAAATACAAATTTAGAAGCTATTGACTACTTGTCCATTCATTACCGTAAGCTAGATATATCTGTTTCTATCTCCTTGAGTGCTAAAGAGATGCTGTGGCAATATGTTTGGTCTCCTGCAAATGTTTGTCATGTGATTGTCTCATCTACACTCTCTTCTCTCATTAAGCTACCCAAAAGTGATATCATCTATCAAAAAAAGATGGATCTTCGAGGAGTCCGTGCTGCTCTCTCAACTTGGTTGTATTCTTGCAGACGTTTCATTACCCAAACTGGGCAACGTCAGCAATGCTTGATGGTGTTACCTAGTTTGGGTAATGAAGCATCTGCAAGAAAACAACCAAGTTCAGAAAGCAGCAAGGACTTCTCATTTCAGCCGTGAGCTACAAATATTTTCCTTTATTAAATGGATCTTTATATAAGTGGTTGATTAATTAGATCTTTTCACAAAGTTTGCATCAGGTTACATTTCCTGGGATGTAGTGAAGCTACAGTGATATATTACAAGCAGTAACACAATGACAGAGTTGGAAGGAACCTTGGAGGACTTCTAGTCTAACCTCCTTCTCAAACAATAAATCGTATATGATTTCAGACAAATGATTGTCTAATCTCTTCTTAAAAGAAATCTTATTTAGATCCAGTCTTGTGTGTGCGTGTGTGTGCTTTATTGTTAGTGTTGACTCCTGGCCACCACCTGAATTAGTCCCTGCAGTTTTCTTGGCAAGTTTTTGGGAAGTTATTTGCTATTACCTGCTTTCTAGGACTGAGAGTAAATGACTAGAACTCACAGTCTCCAATTTCCAGCCTGATGCCTTAACCATTACATAATAATACATAATAATGAGCTGTCCATTGATATGTTTTTTGGCAGTTTAGATATACTTCCTTATTTACATGGAGATTCTAAAACAGCTTTTCCAGTCTGAACAATTCTGAGATATGCAGATTTCAAATATCAGAATTTTCAATAATGGCCAACCTAACTGAGGAATCCTAGGAACTGAAGTCCATGTATCTAGAGCAGGGGTGGGCAAACTTTTTGGCTCAGGGGCCGCATTGACTTTTAAAATTTGACGGACGGGCCGGGTCAGCATAAGATACGATACATATAAAAAACTGCATTTGTTAACAGTTCCCCTTTTCAAAGCGAGGGGAGGAAAGAGTTTTGTTTTTTAAGTGGAAGAGACGCCTGCCGTACTCAGGGTAGGAAAAATAACTATTTTTTTCTCCGAGACACCCTCCAAAACTCAAGTTTGGCGTCATAGTTAAATTTGCACAACATAGATAGATAGATAGATAAAGTGGCCGCGGTTACATATGGACCAATCTTCGGCGGGCCGCATAAAAAAGACCAACGGGCCGGATGTGGCCCGCGGGCCGTAGTTTGCCCACCCCTGATCTAGAGGGTACTCATGGGAGATGTCCCTAAAAATTGAGAGGGGGCTCTAAAAGTTTTGGTTCTCAAGTGCTGAGATAATAGTTGGCCCCACTCCATGCTCACTTCATAATACCGACAAGCTATCAAACAAAGACTGAAGAAGCCAGGTGCACTTTGCTAGAGAAAGTCATTTTGCTTCCTGGGTAAGTTTCTAAAATTAAAGCTAGCATCTGAAATTCAAATGAAGAGCAAACATCTAATTAGAGACAGAATCTAATTCTCTACCCTCCTCCCGGCACAGCCATCCCGTAATTCTGGCAATCAGAACGTTAAGTATAAACTAGAGAGCTTCGGTTCCCCAAGGAAATAGGCCTTTGCTAGTTACTACGTGCAATATGAACACTTGGAGAGAATGCTGCTCAAAATTACTCCCAAGTATCCACTCCTGGCTTAACTCACTCCAGAGCTGACTGCATTTGATTGGCTATGGAGTGCTTTTGGAATAGTTCAAATCTTTCAGGGCAGAGAAAAAAAGAATTCCTATGCAAAAGCAGGAACAGAGGTTGTCCGTTGCCAGCTTGGTGAGAAGATGCAAACCACTGATCTCTCCATTGAGAAAGCTGCTGTCCTTAAGCTTCATAATGTTAGTGGAAGACTAACGGGGTTCCTACAATTTGCAGGCTGGACTATAAAATTAACATTATTCATCCAGTTATATGTCATGATTGAGTTGGTATCACTTCTTCATGTACAATGGATTGCTTCTGAGATTTGTTTCATTTATGTTTTTATAAATGAAAAATGTGGAATCCTAGACAGTAGGAATCGAAAACGTGGAATCCTAGGCAGTAAAGAAAGTTCATAGAAAATATAGTTGCAGAAATTGAGGTCACTCTATAACCAGAGGAACATTATATCAAGAGAGAAGAGACCAATATTCTACATGTCCAATTTGGTAATTATAGACAAGGAACAGGGTTGGGACACCAAATCAAACACAGACTGAAATTTGAAGGATCAGCCCATTTTCTTAGGAGAACAATGAAGCTAGAAGGCTATAAAATGGAATCGTATGTTCTCAGATTTCTATCAGAAAAAGTCATAGCTGATAACTGCAGCAGTATAGAAGGTTAATGCTAAAGCTACTCTTATGGGCTAGATCAGGGGTCGCCAACCTTTTGGACCTCAGGGATCACCAAACTCATTATTTTAAACCCTGTGGACCACTAATATGAATTTTGATTGACGTGGCTTACTGACGTTAGTGGGAGGGAGAGGGGGAGGAGGAAGGGG